TTTTTTTTTTTTGGTGTATGTGTGTGTGTGTGCACATATATATATATTTTCATCAATACACAAATGCATTACAGGATACTTTTGAGTATGTGTGTGTGTGTCGTTGTGGTGTGACTTTTCTTTCATCTTTCCTTTTATATTTGTTTTTTATTTTGTTGTAATATTGATGAAGCAACAATGAGGGTTGACAAACATGTTGATGAAGATGGCGATAGTGTACACAAGGACGATATTGTTCAATTTTATGGTTTTTATGGTGTCACTTTATAATCAGGATAAAAGTTGTATTAAATTGTTGGTTGGCGTGAACAAAGGAAAGCATAAACCTTTACATCGATAGCTTTAAACGTATTTTTGATTGGGTTTTGTCAAATAAAAAATTTAAATGCTAAAAAGATTAATTTTTTGTTAAACGTATTTTTGTTTTCATTTAATACAACAATGACTATACCACCTAACATAAATAGAATGTATAAGTTCAGGCTAAAAACAATGCTTTTCAAATGAAACAATGCCACAAAAAGCATCAATAATATGTGTTTATTTTACATATGCAATTATATACTGCATACAATACATTTACATATATATATATAATAAATACAAGAATTGTACACAATACTGATTACAGCAATTCTGTTTTAACTAAAAAAATGTCACTCATACCACACGTGACACATTGTTCTGCAGTGCATGGCTTTTTTAAACTAAAAGGTTTAGTATTGTAATTAAGCTACTTGCAAATATTTTAAAAGTTTTAATTGTTTTAACTTTAATTTTAAGCTGTTGCATTATATAGAAGTGTACAAATGAATTTGTTACACATCAACCAGAAGTGCAAACTAAACTTTTTCTAGCACCAAAATTTCCAACAGAGCCTCAACATTAGCGTAAAAAACCCTTTTTTTCTAAATGTGCAAATTTTTCGTCCTTTTTTGTGGCTTAAACCACAAATGCACATTTGAATTTTCTTATTTTTTTTGAGGCTAACCAAACCTTTTAATGCCAAACTTTTTGGGCTTTAAGTGGCAACTCAAAAACAAAATAACTGCAACGCTTTTATTCACATTGTGGTCAAAATTTAGTATTAACACTTAAGTCCCTTTGATTGAAAGAGACTTTATATTTCAACCGTAGTGTGTTCTAAAAAAATAATAATAATTTATGTTTTAAAGTAATACTTGAGATTAAACGTACATAAATTACAAAGATTATAAAATATAATTAATATTAAAATAAAATAATAATGCGGTATTATTTGTCACAATTAACTACAATAATTTTTAAAAGACATTATTTATTGTATATGATTAATGCCACATTAACAAGATTGAAATAGTGCATTAATCTGATTTAAGATAGACATGTGCGAGCTTATAGCTCCCTCCAAGATTGAAGCCTATCGCCTATTGAAGCCTATCTTAGATTGAAGCCTATTGTAAAATATAAATTTGAAAATATAAATAATTTAATAACATATTTATCCGAAATATTTATGCCATATAAAGTGTAGAAAAATTAGATTACAAGGATCTGTTCAGTAATCAATATTTTGCACTATTTTAAATAAAAAACTTTCTTAACAGTTTTAATGGTTAAGAACTTAACTGTGGTTGAGGCTTAAATTTTCGTTCTGATTATTGCAAATTTCATATATTAATAAATTGCTCGATTTAGTTATAATGAAAAAATAACATAAAGATTACACACACTTCGATCAATATGAATACGAAGTTTTTAATCAGAATATATAACAGATATCTATTTTGCTTAAGTTTTATTTATTTTAAATCATTGAATTATTGTGTTGAAATTTAACAATTAAAAATAAAAAAATATAATTAATTAATTCAATTAATCTATAGTTTGTATATGATTTTGTTCTCATATATAACACAGCAAGTGAATTTGTTAATGAACTTTCATAACAAATTAACAAAACTCAAACTTCGACCATACAAGTCAAGTACAGCTTTGGGTCAGTTGAACGCTGACTCTGAGCTTCAAATTTGGCAGGGCATGAGCTCAATCCTTGGTACTTGCAGGCTCAAGAAAGAAATAATTCTAAGATCAGTGATGATGGGACAGAACGGCAATACTCGAAACAGTTAAATGGTCAGTCAAAAATTTGATTAATTAAAAATAATAAAAATGTTTGTTGTTGCAATTTTATTATTATTCGATAAAAACCTCTCCATTTAAATTAAAAATAAATTTAATATAATAATTTATAGTCTTCCATTTAAAAATGATTCCAAAAAATTGCATATTGCTGTTAGTTTAACACAATATATATTGTTGTTCCAAATATATATAATATCAATTTAAAGACTATTTATTATATAAAATTAATAGAAGCAGAAAACTTGTAAACGTTTTGTATTTAAAACTGTTTTTATGCTATTGAAAGCTCACAAAAATTTATACACAAATTAAGTTTACTCTTGTTATACAGTAATGGCTAGAGGGTTCCAAGTAAATCCTTAATTCATCTCCACTTAACATTTTATTTTAATTTGTATATAAAAACTTAAAAAAAATATACGAAGAAAATGAATAAATATTTGCTGTCTATTTCTCATAAGTGAATGCACTACGTTACAAAATATTTACATATCAAATTTAAAATAAAAACAAAAACACCTTTTTTAAGGATTTTCTTGAAGTTTCTGAGAACATCACACAAATGCCTTCAAGTATAAAATATTGTAGGCAAAACTTTTATTATTTGCGTTTGTTAAGGATTTTTTTGTTGTGAACTCTTATTTAATTTTAGAAACTCTTAAGTGGTTACGTTTCATATTAAAAATGACACTTTGAAGACAGAACCTTGTAGTACTAAACAACTGAATAAACAAAAAATATATCACCAACAACCCATTCAGCCCAAACAACTGGTAAAGGAAAATTGTACTCGTATTTATAAAATAATTCTCTGCCTGCCGGAAGTGCGGTTTTGGTTCTGGTACTGAACTACAACAAAACTTTCTTTGCTGTGGTGATTGTGCCACAAATTAAAGTGATTCTATAAACAAAGAAACTCGAAAGTACAAAAAAAATACAATTTAATAATTATTTATATATTTTATAAGTGCGTTTTTACATGTAATTTACAAGTGGATTAGAGACTAAAATAAAATATTCTAAAATACTTTTCGAGCGCTTTGAAATGTGGAGTTTTAATTGCGATCTTCAGTATTTTTTAAATAACCACATATGCTTATATTATGGACCTCTAATTGGTAACTGAGGTTCAGTTATAGATATAATTAAATTAAATATATTTGATAAGCTAAGAATGAAACTTAATTAATAATTTTAGTAAATTTGTTATATGATCTACGTATAAAATAATAATATTTTGCATTGGAACTATTAGAATGTTTATTGAAATTTAATTAATTTAAAAAATAATCGACAAAAATTTCATAATTAATAAAGTTAACAGAAAGAGATATAGAGAGCTTTCTTCTGACTATAATCTGAGTGGCCCTAATAAAGTTGTTGTGAGGATAAGTAGAATACTGAACATATATAAATAGATGTCATTTCACTATTGTGGAACTAATTTTACCTTTTAGATAATGATAAACTGAATAATGGTTTGGGTACCCAAAGTCACGCTCATACTTAGATAGCCACTTAGATAAAATTAAAATAAAAGCTTTTTGAAAATTGCAGTATATGAACCAATTTAATGGATAGAATTTCATCGTGTAATTAATAGTTATTATCTTATATGCATATATTTTGTTCCAATGTGTTCAAATAAAACACCATTCATTTATCACAGTTTAGATCAATCCAAAATGTTTGTATTTCTATCTTTTATATAATACTAGATAACCCGACAAACGTTGTTTTGCCTTATAAATTATTTCTAGTTTCTATATAAATTCTAGTGTAGACAAAAAGTAATTTACTTATTATAAGTGTGTAAGTCTGTGGTATATGCATGAAATAGGCATGGAGCGCTATGAACGAAAAGGAAAATAAAAATAACAAAAGCCAAACAATATTATTTTTAAGTTATTATAGTTTATTTATTAAATTATTAATTTAAAATCAATAGATTTGTATGATACCAAGTTCCCTGGCAACAACTGTTGTATCTTCAAATTTAAATTGTCTTGGATTGACTGTAAATAATAATAATGATAATGGGCCAGTAACATTAACCAACAACAGTCGAAGATAAAAACAATCAGTGTGTCTTGGATTAACTGTAAATAAGCGTTCGATTTAAATAAATTGAGACATGCATCAACTGCTGAAACTTGCTTGCGAGGCATCCATTTTTGAGCCCATGTGAAACAGC